CTTCGAGCCCAGCTTGGATACATATCTGTTTTACTTAGGCCCTGCCTATTACAGGGCCTCACCCGCCAACAATTAATATCACATAAACATATCACAACACATAACTAAACACATACAACTGGTTCTTTCCTAAGGCCTCGCCTATCCTGGGCCTCGCCCATGTACTGCTATTGATGAGTCATGGAACCCCGTCCACGCTCCTAGTGGTAGTGAGATACGGGCCCAGCCCACCCTCACTCCTTCCCTAACTTGGGCCTCACCCCTGTTATCCGACTATTGAGATGTGGAACCCCATCCACACTCTGCTATTGGTGAGATACGGGACCTCTCCCACACTCACCTCCCTACCAGGCACATACATGTATCACACAGAAAACAAGTATAAACTATCATATAAACAAATCCTTGGGCACCCGCCCGCTATTACTGACCTCGTCCTGAACATCATACTAGCTTATTGTGCCTAGGGCTAACCCCGGGTCTTCTACTCATAACTACATGGGCCGGCATTGTAGCCTTAGACCCATTCACACAAAGGGAAACTTACCTGCACTGGCTGAGCTTGCTGATGATCTCACTAGCTGCTGCCCGACAACTCATGGAACTCCTGCTCCCCTTGCTCCCCGAACTACCAATATCAATGCAACAATGGGTCTAACTGACCCCCGAAAGACAACCAAGTCAACCCTGATCAAGGTCAAAGTCAACCTTCCAGGTCACCCTACTCGCCGAGTCACCCTACTGACTCGCTGAGTTCAAAATGATCAGATTCCTTCCATTCGCGACTCGACTCGCCGAGTCAGTCCATGACTCGTCGAGTCTGCCGATTTCTGAGTCCTGACCTGTCGAAATCACCGAGTCTCCACCCGACTCACTGATTCGAGTCTCAACTCAAAGGGTTTGGGGTTTCGCGACCTGACTCGCCGAGTCCAAGAACATACTCGCCAAGTACAAGGCAATCTTCATATGACTCGACGAGTTGTTCATCCCACTCGTCGAGTTTCTCCACAACTTCATGCTACTCGCCGAGTCCACTCAAAGGACTCGCTGAGTCCCTTCAGTTGTCCTTACATGCAGAGGACTTTTGAGTCATGCATGGAGTCCAAACTGTAGATCTTTCCTTCCCAAGCCTATTCCTCACGTAAAGTTGCAAACTTTACGTGTAGAGAAGGAGATCTAGGCAAAATATTCAAAAAACTAGGGCTTAAGGCCAAAGGGCTTCAAAATCGACTCAAGGACTGATACTTTTTGTTTCTCCAGGCCATAACACACTTGGATTTGAAGTAGCAACTCCAGATCCGGCTTCTAACCCATAAGGGTGGCTAATCATGGCTTAAAAAGCCCAAAACTCACAACCAAAAATAGATCTAAGGGAAGGAAATGACTTAATACCTTCAATGCCTCAGAAAGGCTCCACAAACTCCAGATCTGAAGCCAATCCTTGAAGATTCACTGATTCCCCTCCCTCTTCTTCCTTCAAAACATCCAAAAATGGCTTGGAGGCTTGGATGCACAACATTGGAGGCTTAGGCTTTGTTTTCTGAATGAGGGATGCTATAAGGAACCCTAATGGAGAGAATAAGAAGCTTTAATAGCGCCCAAAGTCCCGGATTTAGAGTTTTCCTCGCACAGACCCGACTCGCCGAGTTGGCCACTTACACCTTGACGCGTCCCGCTCGGACTCGCCGAGTCCCTCCTTGGACTCGCCGAGTCTACCCTTAAAATTAGGGCTTTCGTTCCTTTCTTGGCCTTTAAAACTTTGGGTGTTACACATGGTTTGGTCCAAATGTCCAAGTCTCGATTTTTATGACTCTACATCACTAAAGACACTCAAAGAAGCTGATAATACACTCTAGAGCTCATTATGTCATAAAGCATCCTACTAAGGACCAAAACCCTAAAATGGACTCAATGATGCACAAAACACAAAGGAGTGAGAAAGCTTTGAACTTTATACCTCTAATCGAAACTCCAACCACATATGAGCTTAGATCCAAAGCCTAGACTCCTATTCCTTCCTCTTCAATGTTCCTTCTTCACTCCAAAGAACCACAAAATCACTCAATAGCTCACAAATGGGCACACAAGCTTAACGGACGAATATCTAGGGTTTGAGAGGGTTGATGTTTGGGAATGGTGGCCAGAAATGAGGCCATCATGTCCTTTAAATAGGGGCACACCCTAATTTAGGGTTTTCACTCTAGGCCTAGTACGCCCAGCGTACTAGGTGGCTTCCGCGTCCAAAGCACACACATGAGTATGTTGAGCGTACACACATGTAGGCACCGTGTACTCATTTATAACCATTTCTCAATAAAGGGCGAAAATTGACATATACTAAAAGAATAAGGGTCAATGAGTTATTACATGATCTTGGGATGTTACACCTTCGGTCTCTTTCAACTGGTACTTGATCTTTTTCACCCCCTCTAGTCTCTTTCAACTGGTACTAGATCTATTTCACCCCCATTGGTCTCTTTCAACTGTTAGTGGGTCTATTTCACCCCTACAACTAAACATATAATCATATCAGTAAGAGTCACAAAGACAACATGCACATACAGTCATATCATCAGGTGTCACAAAACAACTATCATCCTACAAACATAGTGTAGTTGGTCGACATTGGTGCCTTCGACCCATTAGTATAGTGAGGAGACTCACCTGAACTATTCAACAGAAGCCCAGCAGCTACCTCAACAACAAAACATTCAACCCAAGCTTCCTAAAGCCAAACCAAAACTATTCCTTAGCCAAATGCTCACTTCTACTCAAGTTTGACCAAGAGTCAAACTGGTCAAAAAGTCAATAGTCAAAGTCAAAGTCAAAATTACCAATCAGTAACCCTCCACGTTGTGGCCTTCCTCGGCCACATCATGGGCAAAAAATGCCAAAACAATCGTTAATCCCCTATTCGCCACGTTGTAGCAGCCTAAGGCCATACCGTGGGGATCGGTCTGGACAGCTCAAACAAACTTAATCCATTTTCTTTTGATTCCAAGAGCTCCAAAGCTCATATATGATCCTTTCAAAGGTCTTAATGTATAAAGTTTTTAAATTTATCCATTAGGAAGGTCCAAGTCACCAAAATCTAGACTTTAAATCTCAAAGTGACCTAAAATGCATCTTTCTCAACTTAATCAATTAAGTCCAAGTCTCCAACTTCCATATCTGAATCAACAAGATGCCTAGATGGATAAAGTTTCCAACTTTATCCATATTAATGCCACAATCTTCCAAGATCTAAACTTTAATACACCAAAATGACCTAAAAGACCAAGATAACTAGAATGGTTAAAAGGGAAGGCAAAAGATCACAACTTTCCTAGTCCATGAGGTCCAAGAAGCATTCTAAATACATAAAGAGATATTGGAGTCCACTCAACTCCAAGATCACCCATAAAATGGACCAAAAGTGCCAAAAAAAAAACCCAAATTACAAGATCTAATAAACTAGATAGCAAGACTGGAACTTTATACTTACAATGGTCCATAAATGTATGTCTTCTAAAATTGACAAAAACTGCTTCAAGGGCTATATTGTCTTTTCAACAATCCGGTTCTAAATTGATTGTTGTGTGTCTAAAAAGGGCGCTAGTTCTAAAATGAGTGTTTCAGGTCTAAAATGATTGTTTCACGTCTAAAAAGGGCACCAAGTCTAAAATGGGTGTTTTAAAGTCTAAAAAGGGCTTGTTCCTGAAATGCAAATATTTCATTCTTGAAGGACCAAATTAGCCAAATTGCTAAAACCTTATTGCTTTTAACCTCAGTTAAAGTTTGGATTTTTAAGAGATAGAAAGTGTTTTGAAGACTTCTTCTTCTTCTTCCCCCTTTTAGGATCGACATTTTCTAGGGTTTCAACCCTTTATCACCAAATCATTATAGCTCTTTATAACCTCTTTGATCAAGTTCTGTAAACACTTCAATATTTTAGTGGACTGGTTCTCTGCTTTATTCGCCCATGGTTTTTTCTCGATTTGAATTTTCCATGTACATCTTTGTGCTTATTTGATTTTCTTTTTAATTGGTATTTTTCATTACATGTAATTGATTGTGGTTTGATATTTTACTCCTATTCTGTTTGAACTAATATGGTTCTCGTGATTTAGATTTCTAGGTTGTTTGATGCATTAGGGATTTTAGGTTTTAGTGCATCTTACCCTTATTGTTTACTAGAATATCTGTTAAGGTTACAATGCCTTTGAGAAAAAGAGAAGATGAAAATAAGAAAGTTAATCCTCTATTTAAAGAGAGGATTGTTAGTGAGAAATGCACTATGGCAAATACTTAGGCACCAATGTTATCTTGTAAAGAAACTATTCCTTGCTAAATAAATAATAAAATCTTCTTAATTAAGCAAAGAAGATAACATCATCATTAAGAACTTTTAGAGGCATGTTTCTCAACATCACACCTTCTTTTTATTAGTATTGTATAAGTATGCCTTAAATATTTTTGTTACAGTAACTTATAATATATTATTATACAATAAGGCGCCCATTCTCCTAGAAGAAGAAAATAGATTTCAATGTAAACCCCCTTCTGTTTTCCATACAATTGATTCGGTAATCTAAGGTAGACTTTTTTGGGATGATTTATGAGAAAGGAAAGGGTATGTGACCGTAAGAGATAGCATAAGGTATATTGTTTTTTGGAGATTTTCGGAGGGTGAGAAGTGGTAAATAAAAATGATGTAGATTAGACAAAGATGAGAAGAAGAGAACGGCACATATAGGTTTTAAGGGAGAGGGGTGGGGTATTTACTAATAATAAAAGATTAAATAAAATCAAATAAATTGTAAGAAGTATATCAAAAGCCCAAATTAATCATTTCACATTTCATTTTGGTAAGTTACCAAAATCACACAATGAAACCTTTTCATAATACATTTTTTGCAAAACTCACAATTAAACCTTTTCATAATACATTTTTTGCAAAATGAAATAAAAGGGATCCAATCCAAAGAAAATGACAAACCAAATGCCATTTCTATAGTTTGCTTTTATTTTTATTATTTCAAATACTTGATGTTTAAATTAAATTTTCAATTAACATCCACGAAAATAAGTGAACACAATCACCCATGAATCTTGAGTTTTAGCATAAGAGTGTAAATTAAACCGACATAAAAATTAATACTAAAAAATAAGTGCATTGGTCTCTTGAGTTTACTTTATGGTGTGAATCCATCCCAAAATATTAACCGTGAGAATTGTGGCATCTTCGCACAAACTCAAAAAAAATGGTAGCATCACCGCCTTCTTTGATGCAGACAACTGAGTTATCAAGTCTTCAGTGTGGTGAAACAATCCACCCATTTCGTGCAACCATCCAATAATGGGGTGATTCATAGATTTCGTGCAATCGTGCCTATTAATATACTTTTTCGTAATTTGTGCCATCATGAGAAAATTATCTAATTTTGCTTTAATTTTCTCATGCTTAAACACTCCCATCATTGCCACAAGGTTCCATTGTAATGTCCACGCCCAATGCATCTCAACGTATGGTTTGCTATGTACATCCCTCTCAGCCTTGAAATCGTCGCTATTTCTATTTTGTTTAACCTCCTCTAGCAATATCCCCAAGTGTTTTACAAATACTTGTGCTGCTGCCATATTCTCCATAGCTATAATCTCCTGCAACGTTTTCATGAATATCATAACTTTCATGTTTTTGTAATGTAACCGGTTCATGTTACAATGATGCATATTTTGGTATGGTTATGCATGTCGTACTGCATAAACTAGAAAAAGGATAAACCGAATATTATATTGGCACTGTGTAAATACCTCACATGAGACCATTGGGAATATGGCACTTGGAGAAGTTTCATCATCGTTTTTTATTTCAGTACACGTAGTTACTTTCTCTTGTGCCCCAACCTCCAAGTATACCTTTACCACCGGTTTTGTTGTAAACTTCAAAATCTTTGTGTTAGCAAACGCAGAAGCTTTATGTGGGACTAGTTTCATGGATGAAGATAGACTCTGCAGAAAATTAGATACAGATCAACGTGATCTTAATAACCGTGTATGTGTGTGAGAATGATAAGTAAGAAAAATTCGAGAGTGTCAAATTGAAAAAATCAATGATTCTAATTAATTGATTCTTGAGTATTGAAAACCTTCCTAAATTAAACGGATTTAGTTATGGATAAGTCATTGTGATTCTCCTCAAAACCATTGATTCTTTTGATCTATGCTCCAGATTGGTTCTTACACTCACAAAATATTTGTGATTATCAAAATAAACTACCCATGTGTGTGTGTGTGTGTATATATATATATATATATATATATATATATATATATACACACACACACAGAGAGAGAGAGACACACACGACATAAAACTATGGAGGGGTGCAAGAACTCTTGATATACCTTCCTTTGTGAAAAGAGACGCTGCAAAAGAGAAAACTAAAGGAAATTAGATATAAATTAATGCAATCTTCATAATCATGTGTGTGTATATACAAGAGTATTTGCCATACTCCAGATTAAAAATCTTGCTAAGATGCAGAAGATAAACAATATCAATGACCAATACCTTGAGAATCCCCAAGTTAAGTGTAAGAAGCTTAACACTATGGAGCTGTTGAAGCAGAGAAACTATTCTATGAATATCTGCTTTGAATGGATCGTACATAAAGAGTTCAACCTTCTCCAAAGAATGGAAACCTGATGGTGTAGAAACATACCAAGGCTGAGAACCTTCTATGACCAAGGAGGTAAGCCCAGGTGCAGAAATCAGATGCTCTCCTTCGCACCTTATAATTGTGAGATTCTTGAGTTGAGGTGTAACCACATTCACAACCTCCTCTAATTCTATATCAGGGGGTGTAGATACAAGTGTCAGATCAGAAAGTCGAGGATGACAGATATTTAAAACTTTGGTTTCTTTCATTCTGCACCGGTTCAAGGAGAGGTTCTTCAAGTTGGTGCACTTAGAGAAAAGACCAATATCATCATAATCAGACAGTTCGACTTCGTGAAGATGCAAAGTCGTTAAAGCTGGGAGGTCCCACTTTGGTGGCGCCATAATGGAATATGGGCATTCAACTATATTCCCTCCAGGCACACGTGTAACACTCAGTTGTTGGAGATTGTGAGAGAATTTGCAGCTGAGAATTCTTGTAACAGATTCATCGTCCCTAACTGTTCTTCCAAGAACAAGCTTGACCGAAGACAATTGTACTTGATTATTGCGGTGAGATAGAACATTATAAATAAAACTGAAAAAGTAGCGCTCATTATTGAGATTCTCGAAATTCAGAGAGGGCATTGAAGTCCAGATAAACCTCCATCTAGATGACAATACACTAGCGCTAATAGCATCTTTGATGTTAATGAAAGAAAGGATTTTATGGATTAGTTCATCTGGCAAGCTGCTTAATCTATCGACTTCTACATCCACTGCATCTTTTCTTGTAGATATGAAAAGATCATTAAGCATTCTTATTAGCTCCATAATCCCTGCAATGGAATTCAATGCAACAATAAGGACATACAAAACAAACCAACCAAATTCTAAAATACTAACATAAGGTTGGTACTTCTCCGCTGTAACACAAAAATTCTCATAATGAGTTATATCTACAAGATATGTGTGTTGCGTTTAATTAGTCAAAACCAGGACGAAAATTAACATTGAAAAATCACTATATTAACCAACAATTAGTCGGCTAATTTCATTCTACACAATTAGGTATGTAACAAAGAAATTCCAAGTTTCCTCTGTTCCAACAATCAACAAAAACACAAATTCGGTTAATAAAGCAGCTATAAACTTGTTCAACCAAATTCACAATAAAAATTAGTACATTGGTTCTCAATACATTAATTAGATTTATTAAAAAAAAATTAGAAAAAAAATAAAAAATAATAATAATAATAATAATAATAATAATAATAATAATAATAATAATAATAATAATAAAAGTTAGAATTTTGTATACTAACCGCAAGAGAATGGAGGATTGGGAGATAGAATCATTTAGCGAAGACAAGATCAGAAGACTAGATGTGTTGTGGGTAAAAGAAGTAGAAAAACGAGAGCAACGAAGAAGGGGAAGCCAGTCTGTGTTGTGTCGTCTGTCGATGTCGATGGCCTTTACACCGAAAAGTAAACCAGTAGGGTTGGGATGGAGGCCAAGTTTTGGTGTCAGAGCCAGCGTAAACCAATCATGAGTGTTTTATAAGCCCTTACCTTTTGAAGTGGTTTTAGTTGAGATAATTACAAAATTTAGTCAATTTTTTTTAAAGAATATTTATTTAATAGTTAGAACTATTGATGAGGCTATTTTATTTTCGGTTTCATCATCTCATTTTCTTTTTCAATTTCGTGTAGCAAAATACGCATTCAGATGCGGCTCCTTATTTGTGGTTTCGTCATTCCGTCTTCCACTATAAAAAAATTCATTTTTTAGTTGAAATCACAAATGAGTCTATCTCATTTGTGATCACCTCTTCACTCGTCTTCAGTTTCGGTCATGGTTTTTTTTTTTTTAGGAAAACTGCAACAAAGTCCTTATATATTGGTTTTATAATCGATTTAATCCTTATATATTTTTTTTATTCAATTAAGTCTCAAAAACCACTAATCATATTCAATTTAGCCATTTTATCTGACCAACATATCATCCAACTTTAAGAAAATTACATTTTTGGCTTAGATTTCAAATTTTTTTACAAATTTGGTCCAAAATTTACACTTTTGGCCGAAGTTATAGAATTATGTTATTAATGCATCATAACTTTAGTTTTTTACAACTTTTTTCTCAAAAAAAAAAAAAAAATTGAATATGTTTTTTCTTTATAAAATCATATTTATACAAAAAAAACATATTTTCCCATAAAAAAGTCTTATATTTTCTATATAAAACCTTTTTTTCATTTTACTTCTTTTGTATACGAAATACCTATTTATAAAATTAAGTATATAAATATATACAAATCCGTTTTTATAAAAAAAAATATACAAACATGCATTTTACAATATATATATATATATATATATATATATATATATATATATATATATATATATATATATATATATATATATATATTAGACAAAGATGAGAAGAGGAGAAAGGCACATATAGGTTTTAAGGGACATGGGTGGGGTATTTACTAATAATAAAAGATTAAATAAAATCAAATAAATTGTAAGAAGTATATGAAAAGCGCAAATTAACCATTTCACATTTCATTTTGGTAAGTTACCAAAATCACAATGAAACCTTTTCATAATACATTTTTTGCAAAACTCACAATAAAACCTTTTCATAATACTTTTTTGCAAAACGAAAAAAAAAAAAAAAAAAGGATCCAATCCAAAGAAAATGACGAACCAAATGCCATTTCTACAGTTTGCTCTAATTTTTATTATTTTAAATACTTGATGTTTAAATTAAATTTTCAAATAACATCCACAAAAAAATAAGTGAACACAATCACCCATGAATCTTGACTTTTCGCATAACAGTATAAAACTGACATAAAAATTAATACTAAAAAATAAGTGCATTGGTCACTTGAGTTTACTTTAAGGTGTTAATCCATCCCAAAATATTAATCGTGAGAATTGTGACATCTTCGCACAAACTCAAAAAAAATGGTAGCATCACCGTCTTCTTTGATACAGACAACTGAGTTATCAAGTCTCCAGTGTGCTGAAACAATCCACGCATTTCGTCCAACCATCCAAGAATGGGGTGATTCATGGATTTCGTGCAATCACGCCTTTTAGTATACTTTTTCGTAATTTGTGCCATCATGAGATAATTATCTAATTTTTCTTTAATTTTCTTATGCTTAAACACTCCCATAATTGCCCCAAGCTTCCATTGTAATGTCCACGCCCAATGCATCTCAACGTATGTACATCCTTCTAAGCTCTGTAATCCTCACTATTTCTATTCTGTTTACACTCCTCTAGCAATATGCCTAAGTGTTTTACAAATACTTGTGCTGATGCCATATTCTCCATAATGGTAATCTCCTGCAACGTTTTCATGATCATCATAAATTTCATGTTTTTGCAATATAACCTGTTCATGTTACAATGTTGCATATTTTTGTATGGTTATGCATGTCGTACTGCATAAACTAGAAAAAAGGATAACCCAAATATTATATTGGCACTGTGTAAATACCTCAAATGAGACCATTGGGAAGATGGCACAATCATCATCGTTGTTTATTTCAGTACGTGTTGTTACTTTCTCTTGTGCCTGCACCTCCAAGTATACCTTTACTACCGGTTTTATTGTAAACTTCAGAATCTTTGTGTTAGCAAACGCACAAGCTTTATGTGGGACTAGTTTCATGGATGAAGATAGACTCTGCAGAAAATTACATATAGATCAATGTGATCTTAATAATAATGTATGTGTGTGAGAATGAAATGTAAGAAAAATTCGAGAGTCAAATCGAAAAAATAATTGATTCTAATTGATTCTTGAGTATTGAAAACCTTCCCAAATTAAATGGATTTAGTTATAGATAAGTATACACACACACAGACACACACAACATAAAACTATGGGGGGGTGCAAGAACTCTTGATATACCTTCCTTTGTGAAAAGAGACGCTGCAAAAGATAAAACAAAAGGAAATTAGATATAGATTAATGCAAGTTTCATAACCATGTGTGTGTATACAAGAGTATTTGCCATACTCCAGATTAATTATCCTGGTAAGATGCAGAAGATAAACAATATCAATGACCAATACCTTGAGATTCCCCAAGTTAAGTGTAAGAAACTTGATACTATTGAGCTGTTGAAGCAAATAAACTATTCTATGAGCATCTGCTTTGTGTGGATCGTACATAAAGAGGTCAACCTTCTCCAAACAATGGTAGCCTGATGGTGTAGAAACCTGCCAAGGTTGAAAACCTTCTATGACTAAGGAGGTAAGCTCAGGTGCAGAAATCAAATGTTTCCCTTCGCACCATTTAATAGTGAGATTCTTGAGTTGAGGTGCAACCACATTCACAACCTCCTCTGATGCCATATCAGGGGGTGTAGATACAAGTGTAAGATCAGAAAGTTGAGGATGACAAATATTTAAAACTTTGGTTTCTTTCATTCTGCACCGGTTCAAGGAGAGGTTCTTCAAGTTGGTGCACTTAGAGAAAAGACCGATATCATCATAATCAGACAGTTCGACTTGGTGAATATGCAAAGTCGTTAAAGCTGGGAGGTCCCACTTTGGTGTCGCAATAAAGGAATATGGGCATTCAACTATATTCCCTCCAGGCAAACGTGTAACACTCAGTTGTTGGAGACTGTGAGAGAATTTGCAGCTGAGAATTCTTGTGACAGATTCATCGTCCCTAACTGTTCTCCCAAGAACGAGATTGACTGAATAATTTACTTGATTATCACGGTGTAAGAGAACATTAGAAATAAAATTGGAAAAGTGGCGCTCATTATTGAGATTCTCGAAATTCAAGTATGGCATTGAAGTCCAGATAAACCTCCATCTAGATGACAGTAGACTAGTGCTAATAGCTTCTTTGATGTTAATGAAAGAAAGGATTTTATGGATTAGTCTATCCGGCAAGCTGCTTAATCTGTCACGTTCTACATCCACTGTATCTTTTCTTGTAGATATGAAAAGATCATTAAGCGTTCTTATTAGCTCCATAATCCCCTGCAATGGAATACCATGCAACATTAAGGACATACAAAACAAACCAACCAAATTCTAAAATACTAACATAACGTTGGTACTTCTCCACTTAACACAAAAATTCTCACAATGCATTATATCTACAAGATATGTGTGTTGCTGTTAATTAGTCAAAACCAGGACGAAAACTAACATTGAAAAAATCACTATATTAACCAACAGTTAGTCGGCTGATTTCATTCTACACAATTACGTATCTAACAAAGAAATCCCAAGTTTCCTCTGTTCCAACAATCAACAAAATCACTAATTAGGTTAATAATGCAGCTATAAACTTGTTCAAACAAATTCACAGTCACAATTTGTACATTGGGTTCACAAATTCACAGTCACAATTTGTACATTGGGTTCACAGTCTCGTTCATGTTTTTTTGTTCATCATTCATGAGTTTTTTTGTTCATTTTTTTAGTTTAAATCTCAAAACCGAAAACGTGGTGACGGAACCGCAGATTAGGAGACAAAACTGAAGGCATGTTTTGACACCAATTAAGAAACCAAAAACAAGGTGACAGAACCGCAAATGTGGTAGCCCCGTCTACGGTTTCAATCGCTATTATTTGAAAAAAAATAAGTTTTTTGCTACTAAATAAAAAAATGATTAGAAAAAATGACTAAATTTGTAATTATCTGTTTTTAATTTTAGTTTTAACATTTTACATGCAATTCCTTTTTTCTATTAAAACATCTCCTTTTACTACACCTTTATTTAAACTTCTAAGTTTTTATTAAAATTTTGTATTTGGAAATCATTATTATATCTTATTAATTAATTATATTTTTGGTGGTCATTATTATATTTTATTAAGTAATTTACTAGATTTAAACAAAATATAGAATATATGTTTAGATATACTTTTTAATTTTCTAGAACTATAATATACTTTTTTTTATTAAATGTTAATTACATTTAAAGTACACTAAAATACTCTAAAAACAAATAAGTTTTTTTAATTTTTAATATACTTAATATTTTAAACTATACATGAAACAACATCAATATTCTCCTTTATTATTGTTTTCCTGGGTATATTATATAAAGGAAAACCAAGTTAAATCTAAAAATCAATATTTTTAAAACCCGAAAACCAAATGTTTATTTTCATTAGGGTCTAACTTTTGTTTTTTTTTTTTTCTTTTGTTTTTTCTTTTCTTTTTGTTTTTTTGTTTTTTTTTATTTTTTTTATTTTTTTTTTATTTTTATTTTTTTGTTTTTTGTACTGTATTGGTTATGATATTTAGCTAACAACCCCTAAATCACTTTCCAAGTTTTGATAATACATTTTTCTTTTAATTAATAATTAAAGACCTTTTTTTTTTCTTTTTACCTCTGTCCAAAAATATGTCTAGACCGACAGCTATGATAACATAAAAAAATATGTTTAAGATCCATATGGACTACTTGGGCGTTTTAAAGTGAGTTGTAACTTCAAAATGAGCATTAGATCATTACCAAACTTGAATATCATGGAAAATTTAAGTT